CCTTCTCTTCTCCAGGGGAACCCCCCCAGCTCTCCCAGCCTGGCTCCAGAGCAGAGGGGCTCCAGCCCTGGCAGCAGCTCCGGGGCCTCCTCTGGACTCATCCCAAGAGCTCCACATCCCTCCTGTGCTGAGCACCCCAGCCCTGGACGCAGCAATCCAGGCGGGATCTCGCAAGAGCGGAGCAGAGAGAGGGGAAGGAAAGAGAACTCCCGGCAAAGCAGAGCAGCTTCACCCTGCGCAGGGCCCACCCCAGCCCCTCTGTGCTCCCCCCAGGCCCCCTCCAGACCCTCCCACCGCCCTCCCACCGCCCAGACCGCCCGACCTGAAGCGTCCTCTGCCTCAGAGCCTTCAGCCTCTCCCGCCGCTTCAGCGCCTCCTCCTCCAGCCTCCCCAGCACCAGCCCCTCTCCCTGCTCGGGGGTCTCCGCGGCTCCACCGGGCGCCGCCATCTTGCCCCACGTGTCCCGCCTTCCGTACAGCGCGCGGCGCGCATGCGCGCCAGGCGCGGCCAGCCGAGCGCCGAGCGCGTCGCTGCGCTATCGAACGGGCGGGGAGGGAGCAATCGATGGATGGGGGGGGGCCCGGGGGGGGGGGGGGGCGAGTGAAAAACGATGAAATAAAGGTTTAAAATTTAAAAAAAAAGGGGTTAAAAGGCGAAAATAAGCCCGCGCTGCGTTTGTTCAGGGCGTCCCCCCGCGCGAGGCTGAGCTGCGTTAATTAGAGCGGTTAATTATCTGGGATGGGGAGGCGCAGGGGGGGGTTTATCTCCCCTCCCGCAGCCCCATTTTACCTTGGGCAGGTGAAAGAGGGAGGAGAAAGGAGGGATGGGGATGGGGAAAAGGGGTGGGGAAGGGGTGCCCCGGGCAGGTGGAGGGTGGGGATGGGGTGTGTGTGTGTTGGGGGGGGTGATATCCCCGCCCCCCCCCCCCCCCGGGGGGGGGCCCCGGCGCGGGGGGGGGGTTTAGGGGGGTTTTGGGGCGGAGCTGCGGCTCGTCCCGAGCCGTGCCGGCCCGGCATGGCTTCCCGGGAGCGCCTCTGCGAGCTCTGGATGCTTTACTTCGCCAAGGTGAGCTGGGCACCGCACCCCCATTCCCGGGGGGGCAGATGGGGAGGGGGGCACCCCTGGACCCTCATCCCTCCCCGCTGGCTGTGTCCCCCCCAAACCCGCCCCTACCCCCCTATTTGGGGGTGTTGCACACCCCCCCCCATCATCGCTGCATCCCGGGACCCCCCCTTTGTGCCCCCCGTCATCCCTCTTTCACCCCGCGGTGGCATCCCGGGGGGTCGCGGACCCCCCTCCGTGTATCCCCCCCTT